CGGTGAAGGCCGTTCGGAAGAGCTCCCTGAAGTGAGTGACTCCGTCAGCTCCCGTTGCCGACACTTTTCAGAATGGGCAGACCTGCAGCCAGACTGTGGCTGCTCGAAGTTTGACCCAGGGTGCGTCCGCTTGTAGTCGTGGAAGGGAACAGCCCGACCTCGGACGCATGTCATAGGATTCCTGTTGTGGGCACCGGAAGCTCCAAGCTGTCTGACTGGCCAAATCGGCTCAAATTCCTGCGACCGCGCCGTGCGAAAGTAGTCCGGACTTGGGCTCTGTCAGTCTGTCGCATGTGCCCTTGCTGTAGCGTCGTGCTGGGTAAGCATCTCACCCCTGCCTGTTCCTGCGCATGCTTGTGGCAGCCGTTTCCCATCCTGCTCTTCTCGTATCGGCCAGGCTTCGCTGCTGAAACCCGCCCCAGCGCCTTCTGGCCATGCCCCGCGCCTGCCTCGGTGCCGGAGTTCTTGACCGCGGTGCCTGAGCGGCCAGGCGCTGCCTCCCATGAGCAAAAGACCGTGCCTTTATTATGACTGCGCGTCTTCGAGCTGCTTTGCTTCTGCAACGTCCTGATGCCATGTCTAGGCATGTAGCCCGGAATTTGTCGTGTATAGGCTTGCAGAGTTTCGACTTCAACTGCCGAGCGCTTTCCTCGATCCCTGTGCTTCCTCGCTATGGCCTATGCTTGGTCCGACGGGTACGGCAACAAGGGCTGGGGCAAGAACAAGGGTTGGGGCGCCCAGACCAAGGGCAAGAAAGGGTCGCGTAAAGGTGAGTGGTGGGATGATGCCCAAGAAGATCCAGCGCAGGAGGCCACCCAGTCACGCACCGGGCGCATCTGGGCGCGGTACCAGTTCCCGAAAGCAATCCTCAAGGCCAGCGCCGGACAGGACGGATCCGCCTTCGTCAAGGAGTCCAAGCGGGCGATGTCGGACGACGTGTTCTTGGGCACGAAGAACCTGAAGAGCCTCCTTACGCCCGAGTCCACACATCTGCTTCGCAGGCCCGGAGTGGGCGTCAGTGAAGCGGCCGGCTCCATCCAGGCGGGGGCGGACGTCCTCTCCTCGCTGGCGGACATCGAGCTCGACGTTGTGGCCGGCATTTTCCAGGCACCCGAGTTGCAGAGGGCCCTCACCCAGCTCAACACCCTGGACTCGAGCGTGCAGCACGACCGCAAGGATGTGCGCGCTGCCGTCGCTGTGGTGGTCGAGACGCTGTCGAGGACACCTCGCCTGGAGGAGTTGGCGCAGAAGCTGACCATTGCAAGTAGTCGCCTGTATCTGATGGGCGCAGCGCTGCTTCCCCTGTTGCTCTGCGCGGGCGATCCGGCTTGGTGGGTTTCACAGATTCCCGAGGGCGTCTCCGACTCTGCACCTGTCCGTGATTGGAGGAAGAAGGGCAAAGATGAGTCCAAGATGCAGAAAGCGATCGCCGCCATGCTGTGTGAGAAGCTGAATGAGGACCACGAGCGCGACCGCGGAAACAACGCATCTGCCCTCTTCAAGAAGAAGGATGCGCCACGCCGCGCGAGCCCGACTGACAGCACCGACGACTCCGAGGCTTCCAGCGACTCCAGCTCCCGGAAGCACAAAAAGAAGAACAGGGTCAAGAAGTCCAAGGCCGCCCACAAGCGTCGCTCCAAGACGTCTTCTTCCAGTGCAACCAGGGACAAGAAGAAGGAGAAGAAGGACAAGAAGAAGAACAAGAAGGACGAACCCTCTGAGACGCCGGACGAGTCCGGCAAGAAGCGCACGTCGCCTCCACCGTCTTCTCCCAGCGCAAGCAAGGACAAGAAGAAAGAGAAGAAGCAGGAGAAGGACAAGAAGCCAGAGAAGAAGCAGAAGAAGGACAAGAAGAGCGAGCCCCCCGCCGCGGCAAAGCTGCCCGAGCCCGGTGAGGAGCGCGGTCGTCGCGCTGCAGACACAGTCGCGGTCCTCAAGATCCACCGCATTAATGCCATCTCCGCCGACGGCAGGGCTGTGGTGAAGGAGGACGCACCCGTCGATGAGGTCGCGATCGCCGAGGAGGAGGAGACCGTCGCCGCGGCCGTCGCGCGGCTCATGGAGGCCCAGGGCAGCCAGTCAGATGCGCCCAATTGGGAGATCCGTGCCATGGACGACGACTTCGTCCTCCGTGAGATGCAGCCCGATGCGACCTTTGCCTGCGACTGCACCAGGGTGGCTTTGTTGCGCAAGGGTGGCTGAGCCCGATTTGCGATAGCGGCTGCTGATCGCCCACGCCCCGCTGCGTCGGCCGTCTGTCGAGGACAGAACAGCCTCGACCGCTGACAGACGAGCAGATCTTGCGATTTGGTAGAAAAAAAGGGCCGCGCCGTCGCAGCTGGAGGAGACCGACGGAGGGCAAAACCTGAAGAGCTTGTTCGCGACCTGCATGCAGCCAGTAATTCATACCTGACTGCCTCCGAGGTTTCAAGCAGCTGACTGTCCACTGCGTAGACTTCCTGCGCAGGTGCGCGACGCAGCACGTCCCTAGCGCCTCCTCGCCATGCCCCGCGCCTGCCCCGGCGCCGCCACCGACGTGCCCTGTCGATACTCGGCGTCGTGGGTAGGTCGCGCTGCGCAGCCCAGTCCGGGCAACTCCCGCTGCCTCTTCTGTGATCTGGAGCGGCTCGAGGCGGCCCTGGCCTCTCCGAGCGGCTGGCACATGGTGTCACGGATGCTGCGGGCGTCTTGACTGCAAACCCTCAATTAATGCCCTGGATTCTTGTTGCTGCCTGTCACACTTGCTTCGGTCCGTGAGGCCCTCCGCACCCTCGACACCGGGGTCTACGAGGAAGCGATGGGCCGTGTCGCAGAGATAACGCCTGAGTTTGGCGCCATGGCGGAGCTCGTCCTCAGTCCCCCGGCCGCCCTCGCGTGCAGGGAGCGGCACGTGGATGCCCACCGCGACCGCGCCAATGCTGCCTCCACGCCTTTCAGGAAGAAGCCCTCGGTCCAGCGTGGAAGTTCCAGCGCCAGCCGCGGCCGAGACAGGTCCTCGAAGGTCCACAAATCCTCCGGCTTACCTGTGGCATCCGGCTCCCGAGCCGAACAGGAGAAGAAGAAGAAGAAGGATATGTCCGCGAAGGAAAAGAAGGGCGCCTCCAAGAAGAGACGTGCCACGACCAGTTCTTCTTCCTCCTCTTCCTCTTCCTCTTCCCCTCCCTCCAAAAAGAAGCGAAAGCAGAAGAAGCGAAAGCAGAAGGCCAATATCAACAAAAGAGAGGAGTCCCCACCGCCATCTTCTTCCAGCGCAACCAAAAGCAAGAAGAGGGAGAAGAAGCAGAAGAAGTACAAGAAGGACGAGCTGCCCGAGCCTGGTAAGAAGCGCGAGTCCCCACCGCCTGCGTCCCGCTCGAAGGAGCCCGGTCGTCGCACTGTGGACACCGTCGCGGTCCTCAAGATCCACCGCATTAATGCCATCTCCGCCGACGGCAAGGGCGTGGTGAAGGAGGACGCGCCCGTCGATGAGGTCGCCCTCGTCGAGGAGGAGGAGACCGTCGCCGCAGCCGTCGCGCGGCTCCTGGAGGCCCAGGGCAGCCAGTCAGATGCGCCCAATTGGGAGATCCGTGCCATGAACGACGATTTCGTCCTCCGTGAGATGCAGCCCGATGCGACCTTTGCCCGCGACTGCACTAGGGTGGCTTTGGTGCGCAAGGGTGGCTGAGGTTGATTTGCTGGCTGGCGAGGTCTGATCGCCTACGCCCGCTGCGTCGGCCGTCTGTCGAGGACAGAACAGCCTCGACCGCCGACGGACGGACGGATTTTGGGAGCCACCTGGCTTCGGCAGAAAAGGGTGCGCCGTCGTAGCGAAGGGAGACACGCGCGCCAGAAAACCTGAAGCGCACGACCTGTGTGCAGCCATTCATTCCTGACTGTCTTTGAGACGTCGCTCGCATAAGGGTGTGCCTGAGACCGGATCGGAACTTCATGCTCACACGCTTCCGCACACGTGCTGTGTCTCTCGTTCGCTCCATGTTGCTCTGTTTTCATGTCTCTGCGTGCCTGCAGCTCGCGCTTTGCTTTTGCATACTCTCTGTCCTTGACGACGACTGGTTCCAACTGGGTTCGCGCCTACTCCTCTTTTCAACGCTGTTGCTTTTGCTCACATGTGGCCTCGAAGCTCTTGGCTCAGTAAAGTATCCGTGATAGCCGGGACCGCGCGCGTACTGGCGACTCGAGGTCGCGCCCGCAGTTCAGTGGCAGCTGATGTGGTCTGGTTTCTTTTGTTTCAGTCGTCTCACGCAAAAGTACAACCATGTCTAGCTTGCTTTTAGGGCGATGGCTCTCAATCGACGACCGGACGATCTGATGGAGGTCGTAACTTCTTTCAGCTGATGCGCATGGGTTAAGCGCGCGGCACGTCGCCAGGCCCGACGCCGGTACACGGCCTGGATCCGGGCGCATCTGAGGCCCAGCGTGGACGTGGTCGAGCTGAACCGCCAGGTCCGCCACTTGGCGGCCTATCCAGAAGTTCGGGCGCGGGGTTTGTTGTGCCTGAGCCAGGGCCTCCGCGAAGCCACCGACACGGCGCTTCGCAAGATCTTTCTACAACGCCTCAGGCGCTCCAGTTTCGGCCTTGATGCATGCGCATGAAGTCGCGGCAGCGCATCCGCCTGCAAGGCACTGGATCCAGCGGCATCGGGAGGTTGACTTGGACCGGTACGGCCGGCGAAACAGGCGCTTGCTTTCACTTTCCTTTCTCTACATGTCTGGCTTTCTCTGGCACGGACAGTTAGGCGGCCGCAGCCGTGAGTGCGCGGCGATGGCCTGTCCCGGCACGAGCATACTGCGGCGCCGTGCCAGCTTCCCCTGATGGCGCCTGCGTAGAGCTAGTGCAAAAATGGGTCTCGGCTGCCTCTAGCGTCTACTCCACTCCACATGACACATGTGCCCTCGCCATAGTGCCATAGTGTTGCGTTGGTGAGCGTCCCTTCATGCAGGAGTTGCTTTGGCCCTGCGCATGCGTGCATTGATCCATGTCTATCTCTTCGTCAAGCCTCATGGCCTGTTCTCATGCGTTTCTGGCTCACAGTTTCGTGCCTGCAGCTCGCGCGTTGCTTTTGCTTACTCTCCTGGCTGCAGCCGCCGACTCCAGGCCCGGTTGGATGCCCGCGAGTGTCGCCACAATGCGAGTCGCTGTTTGTCAGGCGAGGCATGTTGCGTGGACTCGGTTCTGCTTCGGCATGGACTTCCCTCGCCGTGTTGGGCGTCGCTCTCTTCTTGACGACGACTGGTGCCAACTGGGTTCGTGCCTTACGTGCCGACCTTCAGCTTGCAACACTGTGCTTCGATTCTTGTTCTGGCAGGACTTCGAGATGCGCGGCGAGGCTCGCCATGGCGATGGGTGGACGACTTGGGTTTTGACAGCACGAGGCTGGCCTCATCGTCAAGCGTCGCGATCTGCATGTATTGGCCTTGCAGGCGGCTCCACTACCACCCGTCTGCCACCGGCCAGTGGCGATGGGCAACCGCGTCTGCGCGGCGCCCCCCGTCCGCCGTCGCCGCTGTCTTCGCACACGTCGAGGTCGACGACGATGACACGGGCAACCACTTCCACCAACCCCGTGGACGGCTTCGCTGCCGACGACCGACATGGCCCCACTCTCAGCACATGGCCTGAGCATACCTCGACATGGACGACCACTTCTGTGGAGGGTTTGGCCACCGACGACCGACGTAGCGCTGCTCGCCGCACAAGGCCGAACGAGCGCTGCGCAGGGCAACCCGGTGTGCCATGCACGTGGCACACCCATGAAGCGGGTGCCGCCGCCAGATTGCAGCGGGGCCAGCAACGCTGCCCCCTTTGCTGCCGAGCACACATGCAAGCCCTGCACAGGACCACGAGAGGCCAGGGAGCTCTGACGGCGCGTTTTCGCCAGCTCTTGGCGCTCCGCTCCACCCGTGCCCTGGACCTTTGGACTTCCGTCGAAGCATACTTGGGCGCTGAAGCCCGACAGCACTATGAACGGAGGCTTGCTCCAACCACATGCCCAGGACGACCCGGCGCTCCCTGCACATGGCACACCCACCAGGCCGGTGCTGCAGCCGGACTGCAGCGAGGCCAGCATCGCTGCCCCCTCTGCTGCCAAGCACACATGCAAGCCTTACATGGGACGACAAAGGGCAAGCACACTTTGGCGACACGCTTGAAGCAGCTCTTGGCACTCCGCTCCACCAGTGCCCCCGATCTTTGGAGTCTCGTCGCAAAGCACTTGGGCGCTGAGGCCCGACAATACTATGAACGCCGGCTCGCACCTGCCACATGCCCAGGGCGACCTGGAGCGCCCTGCACCTGGCACACCACCCAGGCCGGGGCTGCAGCTAAGGTGCAGCCTCTCACCGGCGAGTTCTGTTGCCCCCTCTGCTCCCACACACACATGCAAGCGTTGCACGGTACTGCGAGAGGCAAGGGTGCCATAGCCTTGCGACTCTCAGGCCCTCCAGCCCCAACATGCCGCCGACGTTTGGGCCTGTGTGGAGGCCAACCTCGGCCAAGAGGGCCGAGCCTACTACCAAGCTCGTACCAGAGCGCGGGAGCCACTGCCGGGACAGTGGGCAGAGGCCTTGCAGCGGCGACATTCCGTCCATCCGCTGCCCGATGAGGAGGGGCGGCGCCTGTGGCGAGAACGCGCCCGGGCTGATGCGCGCAAGCGCGACAAAAAGTTCGGCCTGGCCTTCTCTGCTGAACACTCCGGCCGCGCATGGATGAGTGCCAGGGCGCGGCAATTCGAGTTCTGGTCGATGCATGCCTCCTGGTTCATGTGCACCGAATGCCATCGCCTGGAACCGCGGCCCTTCCACCAGTCCAGTCATGAGAAGAACGCACAGCTGCGCGCAGTTCAGAAGAAGTGCAAGCATTGCGCCCACGGCATCGGGTACCGAGCCCCGACCATCACCGACATCCCGGAGCCCCTGCGCGACCTGACAGCCGCCGCACTCTGGGCCCTGCGCCCTATCGAGATCGACGTGGGCGCTTACCAACGCGGCGAGTACGGTTACCGCATTCACACCGACATGACCCGACTGCGCTGGAGGCCCCAGAGCGTCCGGAAGCAGCTGGCCACGCTGCGAGGCGAGGATCTACGCGTAGCCCAGCAGGCCTGGCGGTTCCTGCACTCGCGGCCACTGCCCTCCATGCCGGAGACTTGGGCAGAGCACACACGGCTCTTTCGTCTTCATCCTGGCTACTCGGCCTACCTGTCCTTCGTGGCGCAGCATGATCGCTTCTTGGACATGGCTGGTCCACGGCTGGACAAGACCGCTCGGCGACTTCCAGTCCGTTTTCTGGAGACCCTTGGCTTGGAGACCGCCCTCTGGCCCCACCTCTACCCGGCCGTCGCCTTGTGTGAAACCTTCGTGCGGCTGGAGGATGGGAGGCGCCTGGCACGTGAGCGAAGTGATGTGCGGGCGGCGTACGCCCAGCGCCAGCGGGCCGGCCAGGCTGCGGGACGCCACGGGGCGCCGGCAGGGCTCCGAGCACGGGACGCTGGCGACGTCGGGGCGGAGCAGCACCACGGTGATGAGGAGGAGGACGAGGATTCCCACATCGACTCGGACGCAGAGGACAATGGCGTAGACGACGGGAACGAGGACCGGGAGGACGACGCAGAGTCGCCACTACACTTCTTGAAGGAGTCCGACCGGCAGTCCCTCAAGGCCAGTTTCCTAGCGAAGGTGACGTCGGCGGTCATCGGCTACGCTTCCGACTACGAACTCGCGCAGTTCGTCTACGATCTGTGGCTGTGGAGTGCCTTGGGCGGCGCGAAGCACGCCTCGGGCGTCCAGATGCGCGTGGCGCTGGCCGGCAAGCAGTTCTCCCCCGAGTACTGGCGGACGCGCCACTTCGCTCTGCTGGACTTGCAGAAGCAACTCGGCTATCCGACACTTTTCGTGACCATTGCCCCGTACGAATGGTCCAGCCCCTACCACGCCTTCCTCGAGGACGAGCTGCTGCGCACCTTCAAGACGCGCCTGCATCTTCCCGGACCGGAGTCGTTTCACCTCGCCCACATCCTCACACAGGCAGCCCTGGGTCTCGTCACCGGCTGGAACAAGCAGGGCCGGGGAGGCTGGGCGCGCCACGTGCTGGGCGACCAGGCGTCCGCCGGCCAGGGCTCGGCGCTGAATCTGTTCGGTCGCATCGAGTTCCAGGACGGCAAACGGAAGCGCGGGGCCCGCAACGAGCGTCTCGACTACCACGGCAGCGGCCGCCCCCATGTCCACTTCCTGGTGTGGCTCCGGCATCCACAGAGTTTGCCCTGGTCCCAGATCGTCTGTGGCCACCTCCCCGCCGACAACGCGCCCCTGGAGCAGATCGTCAGGAGCAGCCAGTTCTCTTGGACGGGTAGCGGCTGGCCTCGAAGGGACGCTTCCACTGCCTGGGACGAGACTGCGCAGCGCTGGAGCTGCACCACCCAGAATCCGCGTGGGAGGATGCGAGCGTACATGCCCGATGTCCTCGCCAGTCTGAAGTGCCACATGGATGTGCAAGCCTCCGACGGCCGCGGCATGCTGCTCCGCTACGTCGCCGGCTACGTGCCCAAGTTCTCCGACTCGTTTCAGTCCAACTGGTTGGATGACCTTTCGTCCGACTACGCCTTGGCCCGGCGGGTCCTCACCCAATACCAGCCACTGGAACCGGAGATGTGGCTGCAGCTCGGTGCCCACCTCTTCCGACAATGCTTTGCCGGCGGGGGCCTGTCCCGTTTCGTCGTTCCGGTGCCCTGGCGAGACATCCTCCCCGAGCGCGTCCAGCAGTACATGGGCTCCACCTGGCGCCCCGACTCCATGTGCCTGCTGGCCTACCTCCGCAAGACGAACAAGCAGGGCGGTATACACCGTGATTACAAGAAGAGTTTCGCCGCGCTGGCTGTCTCGGAGGGCCTCGGGCCGGAGGACTGGATCCATTGGCTCGCCGATGCTCATTACAGCGGCGCCGTCCTCGTGGCTGCGGTGATGAAGTCCCGCTTCAATGACGAGTACTACAAGCAATGGTGCCTCCTGCACGTGCCCTTTCGCGAGCTGAAGGACCTTTGGCACGCGAAGCTGGAACTCTTGCCCCCTCAATTTCATGGCCGCCCACTCAGAGTCCGACAGAAAGCACAGTTCGCTGCACCTTTTCTCATGTGTGTGGGTGTGTGACCATGTGTCCCTGTGTGTGTGTGTGGGTGCACAGGCAATTTTCGAGGCTCTCACGTTTGCCTTCCGGGCACCGAGGTCTGGGAATGGCGCTGGCGCTGGCCGGCGAGCACTGGCGAAACCAGCAGGCCGTCCGTGCGGACATGGAGCTCGAGGCGCAGCGCGACCCCTTCATCGACTCCAACCTCGCCATGCTCCGGGCACACATCGCCCTGGTGGATCTGTACTGGTCCGGCCAGCTGGTGCACGGAGTGGATCCCGTCCCTGAGGTGGGATCGGAGAAGATCACGCTGGAGCCGGAGCAGCAGAGAGTCGTGGAAGCCATCGGGCAGCGTGTGGCCCTCGCGCTGTACTGGGCGAAGGTCGCCTGCCCCACACGCATGCTGGTCGCCGCTTACCGCCAGAAGTACCCCGACCTGGACGTGGACAGCGTGCACGCCGTCTTCCAGCTCTTCAGGCCAGAGCACGAGACGCTGCTGAGCATGGCGACCTACGACCTGGTGGTGCTGGACGAGGTGAGCCAGATCTCGGCCGCAACGTTCGAACGCCTTCTCCGCATCTGGGAAGCGGCGAGCAGTCAACCGGCGCTGGTGTTCATCGGGGACTTCGCCCAGCTCAAAGGGGTCGAACCGACGCAGGCCAGGGACAGCCCCTTCTGGAGCACGGTCTTCAAGTTTGAGTTGCGCACCATGCGGCGCTGCCGCTGTTCGGTCCTGCGCTGGAAGCTGGAGCTCCTCCGCGTCGCCAAACCTTCACAGAAGCAGCTCTCGGACATCCTGCGCGGGCACCGAGCACCGACCCGCCAGAACCGTCAGGGATACCGCCCGCCGTCCTCCCCCCCCTCCGACGACGACATCCGGGCCGTCTTCGCCGAGACGCCCGACACGGTCTTCGTCACCATCACGAAGGCCGCAGCCGCGGCCGTGAACGCCCTGGCCGTGTCCACCTTTTTTCCGGACCAGTCCCCACTGGCCGTCTTGCCCGGCGACCCCGACGCAAACCCCGCCAATTTCCGTGGCTCCGAGCAGCACGCCTGGGAGCCCGCTCCCATCCCGATCTTCCTGGGCGCCCGCGTGCAGCTCACGAAGAACCTTCACAAGGAGATGGACTACGTCAACGGCATGGGGGCCACGATCCTCGGGCTGCAGCAGGGCGGCGTTCGGGTGCGGACGGACACGGGGTTCACCGTGGTTGTGTATCCCTGGACCGATGGGGATTCCAGGACGACCTTCCACCCCATGCGCCTGGGATACGCGAATACCTTGACCAAGCTGCAGGGAGCCACCTTGGACAGCATGACCCTGTACCTGGACGTAGCGAACATCCCCGCCGCGGGCTATGTGGCTCTCTCACGCGTGCGCTACGACAAGCAGTGGCGCTTCGTGGGACACCTGACGCGGCACCATTTCACCCCGGCCTGAGGATGAATGCCACATCTCCTGGGATTTTGTCCGCTGTGCGTGCGAAAAGAACTCTCTGCACTGACTTACTTCCTTTGGGCTTTTAAAGACAAGCTTGCCCGATCTTCAGCTTCGTGTTCGACAAAGCACATGAAACCTCTTGTGCGTGCGCGCAGACGTTTAGATTCGTCTGTTATCGTCAATGATAGTTGCTTATTTTGTGCGCCCATCAGAAACATGGCCTTGCCTGCTGTACGTCGCCGATGGGCGGACGTCGAGGACGGTGAGGATATGACTGACATTCATCGAGGCCTGCGTGGCTTGCCTGCCCTCGATGCCCGCGCCGACGGCCATCCGCGCCACCTTGCCCTGCAGGACATGACTGCACCCAGAGCGCTGGAGGCTGTGGCCTGGCTCTACGCGTGGCACGAGGTGCGCTACTGGCCCAACGGCATCGACACTCTGAGCGCCTGGTCCTCGCGTTTGGTGCATTGGCATTGGCCTCCGATCTGGCTTGCCGTCGTCTTCGACTCCGACCACCGCACTCTCTTCTCCGCCGCCAGATTCCTGCACGTGCCGCTGCCGGTCCTGCTCCGTGGGGTCGCCATGCGTCGCTACATGGACTAGTCGCATAACGGATCTGGCCCGAGCCGTGTTGAAAAAGAGAAACCTGCGTGCGTCCTCCTATCCATTCCTTTTGTGACGTCGCACGCACTATGCACTTGCTTGCGTGTTTTTCTCTGCATCCAACTGAACCGTTTCATTCAAGACATTGAGAAGCAAGGGCTTCTTGCTGTACTAAAGTTCGGGAAGCGCATGTAGAGCACTAAAACCGAAATTCTAGAACAAGCCTCAGGATTTCGACTCGATTCGTAAGTCGATGTCTATATAGGTCCACTGCGAGAAGCCTAGTGATGCGCCGCTAGGAGGCTTTTCAGGGTCATTGCAACGGCGATGTCCATGGACGACTACAACGACTGTCATCATAATCAAATCTGACGTCCTGAACTTGGTTTCCAAAATCGAAGACGGAACATGCCCCCCAGCTTCAGCTGCCACCTCCACATCTGTCCAAGGCGGGCCTCTGGGTCGGCCTTTTCAGGAGATTTTCCATTTTCCTTCATTGGGTTTAAAGGCGTCGTCATATTCAGAAATCATTTTTCGAAGGGTGTGAAGGGACTGCCCAGACCTACTCGACAAGGGGATCTACTTGGCCGAAGAAGCCACAAAGATCGATCAATATCTGATCCAGGACCCTGGATGGAACAGTAGACTTGACAAAGGGTTTGAAGGGACAGCCCAGACATATTCGGCAAGGGGATCTATTGGGCCGAAGACACCGCGAAGATCGATCAATATCTGACCCAGGACCCTGAATGGAGAGGCAACAACAAACCGACCTCCACAAGAAGCTCTATGAACGGGGAGGGAAAATGAGCCGCTCACGTCTACTGTGCCTCGGGCTGCCGCATTGCTCTGGGTCTGGGAGATCCATTTCCCCCTGCCTCGGCGTCCCCTCCCCCTTGGCCCTCCTGCCGTCCTGGCCTGGCCCCGGAGCGGTCCCGGAGGGAAGGGCCTTCTGCCCCTGTCTGTTTTCTGGGTTTGGTTTTGACAACCCTGACCCATTCAAAGGATGAGGGTGGAAGTGTCCGACCCAACCGTTCAAAGGATGGGGGTGGGAAGTGAGAATTTAGGGCGTTAGCCCGAAACCCTAAAAGGAGAAAAGTTGGGTGGATGCCTGCGTAAGCAGGGGGTGGGAAGAATAAAACAACCCAACCTTTCTGGTTGTGGTGGCTCCAACTTCAATATACGCCGCCGCGACATACAGTCTCGGACAAGATAGTTTACTGACTTGTTGGCAAGAGTTGTTGCTGGAATGGCTTTTGGGAAGAATGTCGGAGATGTACCTTTGGCAGATTCAAGCCTAAGCTCTCCTCTTGCTCGGGTGTGGCCAAGCGCCAAAGAGCAGAAATGCCGCGTTTTTCAAGTTTCAAATTCGTTTCCGTAGTTTCAAATTAGTTTCAAAAATAGTTTCAAAATCCAGTTGCAAAATCGCTGTTAAGGGGAAACTGCATTTTTCTATGCGCAATTCAAAAAAAATGAAGAAATCTCAGAGGTTCCTGGTTTTCAAAAAGCGCGGACAGAAATTGTAGTTCCCCCTTAACAGCGATTTTGCAACTGGATTTTGAAACTAATTTGAAACTGATTGGAAACTAATTTGAAACTATGGAAACAATTTGAAACTTGAAAAATACCATATTTCGGACTTTCTGCCCCCCATCCTGGCCCCTCACACACGGCCCTCAGTTGACTGTGGTCAGCCGTGACTATAGAGACCAGAGTTTCCGAAAACTTGCCAGTCTCCAGACTGTTGATGGACGAAATCCTGCATCACTTTTATTATGCAGGTCGTCCCTTCCAAACCCTGAATCTTAACATTGCTGTCCTTGCAATGCTTCGAAGTTGCATGTGTGTGAATGACCGAAATCCTGCATCACCCATATGCGCACGCAACATTGAAATTCGAGGGGCGCGGGGAGCTCGATTACCAACCGTCGCACACGTGTAACATAGGGGGTCATGCAAGATTTTGTCCATCAACAGTATGCCGCCCCCTCACACCCCCTGGGTGTGTAGGGGCGCCATCTCCGCATGAAATCTACTGCCGCGGCGCGGCGAGAAGCCCTAAACCCTAAACCCTAAACCCTAAACCCTAAACCCTAAACCCTAAACCCTAAACCCTAAACCCTAAACCCTAAACCCTAAACCCTAAAACCCTAAACCCTAAACCCTAAAACCCCCCTAAACCCTAAAACCCTAAACCCTAAAACCCTAAAACCCTAAAACCCTAAAAACCCTAAAACCCTAAAACCCTAAAACCCTAAAAAACCCTAAAACCCTAAAACCCTAACCCTAAAACCCTAAAACCCTAAAACCCTAAAACCCTAAAACCCTAAAACCCTAAAACCCTAAAACCCTAAAACCCTAAAACCCTAAAACCCTAAAACCCTAAAACCCTAAAACCCTAAAACCCTAAAACCCTAAACCCTAAACCCTAAACCCTAAACCCTAAACCCTAAACCCTAGGGTTTAGGGGAAAGTGGTTTAAGTAAATTGAGATGTTCAAGTAAATCCTGCTTCCTCATAACCTAAACGAAAGTGGTTTAAGTAAATTGAGATGTTCAGCCCCAAATAACACGCTTTGCAGAAATCCGGTAATAAAATATTGTCAGACACTGACTCAGGGTCCCTGAATCCAAAATGCTTGAGGATTTGGGGTTCAGGGACGCTTGATTTAGGGGCTTCGAGTGTAGGCGAGAAACCCTAAACCTTGCCAACCCCTGCACCCTAACCCAGAAACCCTAAACCATTGGGAATATTCACCCTGGGATCCTAATCTGCCGTGCTTTTCACACCCACGCAGAACTAGGCCACTGGGTATGGCAGATCTCTGCCCAGGGAACCAACTGGCTCCGCAGCTCCCTGAGGCTTCAAAACGAAACCCCAACACCTAACAAGTGGTTTAGGATTTTTAGGGCTTTGCGCGTTTAATGGTTTAGGCTAAACCCCAAAAGACGAATACCTGAACTCTAAACCCTATAC